GGCTAATATGTTCAAGTTGCGCAACAAATTTTTGCTTTTTCATTATTATTGTCTTAAATGATTCTGCCTGCGAGATATCCCAGCACACTAAAGCAAGTTCCTGAAAAAATAAGCATCTTGCAACAAGGCGGCGTTTTCAAATGCAATGCTAACTTGGAACGCTAGAACACTTTCTGACGTTTCCATTTGAAATTTCAGACACTGTGCAGTTCAGATACCTAAAACTTCAATCACGGAGAGGCAAGTATTAAGTAACAGATGTTAAGGAACACATGAGAAAGCCATCACTGATCCTGCCTATTAGCATGCCCCTTAAAATCTAATTTTAAAATATTTAAATTCCCTGATCTCCACTGACAAAATACAGCTTGGCTGAGTTGTTTTCAACATTTAACGCAACTAAAGAAGGAAACCCATCTAACACCTGGGGTGAACCTTGGACCCATCTCCAAAAAATGCACTTTAGTTTATAACTTTACTTAATATCAAGTGAAATCTAGCAAAACTTTCGTGCCAACGTCTAAAGTAGCATCAACATTGCCTAAAGTAAGAGAAGGTATACGCCAGTTAGAAGGAAAGTGCAGGTGAATCAGATCATCCCAAACAATTGTTTATAAGTCTGAAATAAAATACCGCAGAAAAATTTCAATGTAAGTAGAGAACCCCAGTCCCCACAAGTACAAAACTTCAACTACAACAGAGAAGCGAATGATGAAGGAAATTAAGAAATATGAGCATCAATTGCCACCTCCAATAAATAAACACGTATGATGCGGCAATAATAAGACCGTACAAAATTTGAAAGCGTTAAAACGAGATTTATCCTTGAATGTTCGAAACTGTGTTCAAATGTTTTGGTGATCGAAAACCAAACGGCTTATCCGGCTTCTTTCAACTCAAAAATCTTCTGGGGCGTTGCATTGTAAAACCGTACAACGACTTCATGCCAGCTGCCGCAACGCAAACTACATTTGTGACAATCAATATCCTCTAATTCAAATGATATGAGTACTGACACGATTTTCTACTGTTGGAAGTGCGTCAATAATTCGATTGTGGCGCGTAAATGGTGTTTCACTTTTAAATTTCAAGCTTCTTAGGATTTTTCTTCATTTTCTGAGGTGGTTATTATTGGGTGAAGATAAGTGGTACTTTTTGGCCTACTCTCTTATCAGATTCTCTGATTTAAGATTATGGAACCTGAGGGGCCGATGGATGCATCTCCCCCCGGCCGTATGACCACTAGACGGGTTGCGCGAGAGCAGTTTACTCCGCTGGTCAACCCTTCAGACCCCAACATCAGTACATCGTCTGGTGAAACCACAGGTTACGTTGCTTCGCAATTGTCAAGGTTTGTAATTTTCTAAATTATTATGCAGCTTATTTTCGTGCTAGAAGAGGCTTACTATTTTTATACTGGGAGACGAAGAATGACTCACAGGTCGAGATTTACTTTACGTGCTCATAATATCTGCTAATAAAAAAGATTTTTTTTTTGAAGTGAGGACCAGGATGAAACTCGTTCCGAATTCCATTTGGAGTCTTCCGCAGATTCTTTGTTTCGTACTCCATCAGCAAGTACACGGGGAAGGAAACGGAGAGTTCCGAACGATGAGTTGTCATCCACTCTTACTGATCTGGCAAGTATTGGAATCATTGGTATTTATAGTATTTAAATTGTGAAACCGATTTTGGCCTCGACAAGTTTGTTACTTGCTTAATAAAAAGTGACTTGTGCCGGTAATCTAGCTTCTTACCATCCATTGAGTGTATTGAGCGGAAAAATTTGTTAAAGCTGTTTTTCTATCAACAGTTTTTGTATTGGAACCTTCTTACTCATTTATGATTTCGGTGAATTTTCAGCCGCTGAAGGTTCTAATATCTAAGTGAATTAAAATATATGAATTCTTCGCTCTTGCACCTTGTATTTTGGGTGTGGGTTTTTTAGTTTTTAGGCTTTGTCTGTGTAATTTAAAGCTCTGAGAATTGGATTTTAGTTCACCGCCGTTTTTTCCCCTTCTTTAAAATTAACCTCATTGTTTATGAGTGTTGTAACCATTTGTATTTTGTTTCACTGGATTTCTTGACGTTCGTATATATAATGTTTGGGGCTTTCGTGAGTCATCGTTCTTGTTTTTCACGACTGTCACGCTTGGCGCGTGACCTCTTTTACTGCACTGAAGTTGTGTAAATTAAGGGCTGCATTCAAATACCTACCGGAAATATTACATTCTTTTTATTTTTTTACAGAAACTTTTTTAGAAACGTGGAGGCCGTGGACGCACTGCGGGGCGAGGGCGAGGTGCAGTTACTCGACGTGGAGGTGTACTCTCGATACAAGAAGCCGCCGATGAAAGCAGCCTTTTTAGTATGGTGAAGAACGGAAAGAATTTGAATGTTAGCACAAATTCTTGGTCTTTATAGAAGTATTTTTTTAAAACCCTGTATTTGAAAAAAAAAAATTTGCCTTATTTTTCTCAGGTGTTGTACTTAACATATTGTGATTTTTATTCGGATAAAATGGACATCAATTTTTAAAAGGGATTTTTTTTGCCAGTAACACTTTGGTAGGCTTCAAAAAGAAATTCTTGATTTTGCTGAATTTTTTAATGCACATGAGGATTTTAGTCATTTAGTCTGTTTTGAACATATTTAAATAATTTCCAGCTGATAGCTCACAGTCTTTATTTGTAGGAGAGGAAAAGAGGCATCTTTACGAAATCTTATTGGGGAGTGGAAAAAAGCCTAAAAAATTGTATTTTTCATGGGGTAATGGTTTTTTGAGTTTATTAGGTTCCAATTTATTGTAAAAATGCTCTCGTGCAGCTTATCATGAAGCAGAAAACAGAAGTTCTTTTTTGAAAGTAATGTGGAGAAAATTACTTTTAATTTAAAAATTATTGGGACGGAATGAGGATGTTAAGTTTTTAATCCCGTCTTGTCATCCATATATTTTTTTCGGTTTTCAGGAGATGCCTATTATTAAAACGTCTTATAAGATATACTGCTCCTGTTATTTAGAGTGTGCTTTGAAAACACTTGATTGAAGTAATTATTTAAAATGCTTTAGCTGTAAAAACGAATGTGAGTTTAAACACTTGAAACCGAACGGCTTAAACGTTGGTAAAATGAGCTTTCCGTGAGGAAGAATTACGAATTTTTGGCCTTAGCATTGCTTTCTTATAACTTTACTTTGTCGTGTTGTTTTATAATCCCCAATTTTCTAGGAAGTTTCCAGACAGTCCTTGTTGCGTTTTGAATTGGAGGTTGAGGTTAAATGTTTAGTCTGAGCGAGTCAAATGAAATATTTGTTTGGTTTTTTAACCAAAGTTTTAGTACAGGCTTTTTTATTAGATGGTGTTGACCTAACCGTAATATACTGTACTTTTCAGTGACTCTGTGATCGTTTAAGAAGCCATTATTTTTTTTATTATAGAGTGCAACTTTTGCTGTTTAATAATTACTGAGCTCGTATTTAAGGAGGTAACAGATCGCTGGATCGACGAATACGAACGACATTATGAGAACGCACTTGTGCAGCTGCAGCAGTTTTTCATATCGTGCTGTGGGTGTAAGGGTGTTGTTTCTTCCGTAATGTTGCAAACTATGGAATACAGGTGATGAGTTCTTTTTTTTCTTTTCTAAATTGTTTATCTCGTTGTGTCACAATAACCTTCAAGTGTTTCAAGATTTTTTAAATGAATTTTCTGATTTAATTTAGTGAAATTATTCGTCGAATGACTGAACAATTTGATGAAGTATCATGTGATTACCCGTTAGTGATGCCTGGCCCTCAATGGAAAAAATTCAAGCAAAATTTTGCGGATTTTCTGTTGGTAATGTTTAGTTTTTCTTCATGTTTTCAGCATTGTTCAACATGTTTCTGATAGACCATTGTTTTGGCGAATTTCGAGATTCTAGCTGCTAGTTAACAAATGCAAGTCAAGTTATGTGTTTGACCAGCGTTTAATGGACAGTGTTATCCAGCTTTTAACTGGCTTAGCGGATAGTCAGGTTCGAGCTTTCAGACATACGGCGACATTTGCAGGTTTTCTTTTAATTAATGAGTTTCTAAGTTTACTACGTTCTCAAGCGTACTATAAAAAAACGTGGTTTTACAAATTTTGTTTTTTAATTAATTTATAGCAATGAAGCTATCGTCTGCATTGGTGGATGTAGCGTTGGAATTAGTCTCTTTGAAGGAGAAGAATGCGAAGCAGGTAATTGAAGCATTTTTGCTTTACTCTATCGATTGGGACTTTTCAGTATTGCTGTTATGGTCTTTTTTGCAATTAATTTGAAATAGTGGCTTTTTGAGAACTGTTGCTCTGTTTTGTTTTCAGGTAGAAACTGAGCGAATAAAATTAAAATCCCGTGGAGGAAACGACCAGCTAGAAATGCTTATAAATAAAAAGAATGAGGTGAATAAGTGTCACCTTTGGGGTTAATAGAAGATATTTGTTTAATTGACATAAAATTTTCATCTGGCCCTTCTATTTTAGATTGACGGCAAAACAGAAGATGTTCGTCTCATGTTGGAATATATTTTTAAAAGTGTATTTGTGCACCGATATCGGTATGTGCAATTTTTCTTCTGAAATCAAAGCAATATTTCATGTCACTTGAATAGGGCAACGGCTTTCAGTGATATTTTGCCTGACATTCGTAGCATATGTATTAATGAGCTCGGACAGTGGATGCAAGTCTACCCAGAGCATTTCCTGGAAGACGCATATTTAAAGTACATAGGATGGACCTTATACGATAAAGTATGAGTAATTCTTTTTACCTTTCTCAATCGCTACTTTTTTGAAGATTTTTTTTTTTGAATTTTGAGAAATGTTCAACTCAATCTCTTCTGTTGTGATATTGAACTGAATACCTGGTGTTTCAGGTGAGTGATGTTCGACTGAAGTGCATTATGGCGCTTTTGCCGCTTTATGAACGACTTGACATGGTTTATAAGTTAGAATTGTTTACGAACAAGTTCAAAGACAGGCTGGTTAGCATGGTTATGGATAAAGACAATGAAGTAGCAATGCGGGCCTGCCAACTCTTGACCGCCATTTATCGGTATTTTAACATGAAGTTTTTCCTTCATCTGAGCGCTGATTTTGAGCTTTAGAGAAGGTGTTTCATTTTTGATTTTCTTTCAGCGTGTTTCCGTCAGTTTTGGAATTGAAAGATTGTGTTCCCATATATGAGCTTGTCTACTGTAATCATCATGGATTGGCTCAAGCTGCCGGAGAATTTTTGAATACCAAGGTTGTACAGTTTTTGTGCCTTTGTATGTTGAGCTGTAAATGTAATGTCTTATGCATTTTGGACTTGTTATTTTCTTTAATTATCATGCGGATTAGATTAAGACAGCGTTAATACATTTTATTGGTTAGAATGTGGCATTGAAGGTATTTCAACATCCTCAACGAACTTCCGGTAATTCTTCTGCTCGGTCGCACAAAAACGCTCAACTTATTCAGGATCTTATCCAGTTTTATATGGAAGGCGATGTAAGCATTCTTTGAGTTATTAGTAGTAGGCGAGACTATTGCTGATGGTTATTTTGTTTCGCCGGGACGGTTAAGTTGCATTTCTTAGTTCGGTTCGTTCTGTAAAAACAATTCTAGCAAATTTAGTGCCACCAGCATCCAGCATATCTTGTGGATGCCCTTTTTGATACAAATCCTATGATGAAAGATTTCAAGACCATGGTTGACATGCTTCTTTCTGGTGAAGGTAAGACATTGTTTCATGTTTTTTAAATAACGCGGCGATTTAGTGACTTTAAGCTTAACTACGTCACTATTTTTTTGTTTTTGGTTGATAGTAGTTGAGATAGGGTCGTCACTACTGGTCCTCTGGATTTTTAGCATTTCTCGTTGTACTTCCAAAGCCACAGATTTTTTGAGTGGTTTTCATCTCAGCTGATTTTTAAAATACTTTGTTGCCGTTTTTTGATAATTATTTTCCTTTTCTTTCAATTCCTATTTAGCTGATCGTTACGATTCGCAGTTGATAGAAGTACTGGAATGCGCTGTCAGGCAAGCAGCAACGGGAGAGAACCCGGTTGGACGCGGGCCTCAAGTAAAGCGCGGCGCTGTTACTGGCAAAGAGCAAAAGATAATGAATGAAGACAAAATACGGTTGACGGAAGTGTTGATTCCGCAGTTACCTCTTCTTCTTCATAGGGTGATTTTCAAAAATTCTTTTAATTTTTTTTAGTTTTCTGGACATGAGTTTTTTGCTTCAGTTTATTGCTGATAGAGACAAGGTGGCAAATCTGGTATCCATCGCCCGTTACTTCCAACTGGATATCTATCAAGCGGGCCGATTAGAAAAGGTTGTTGCGTTGATTTCGTTTTGAAATATATGAAACAGTATGGCTTTGTAAACAAACCTTAAACCTTTGGCTTGTAGAGTACCAACTACGTCTTTGATTATGTAGCAGCAATTGAAGAAACGGAGTTTTTGTAGTCTTGGTGTCTAGAAAGAAAGTGTATTACATTATTTTCAGTGTTTGGACGATTTAATGAACGTTTTTGAAAGCGTAATCGAGAAGCACGCGGATGATGAAGTGCTTCAAAATGTGGCTGAAGTCATGGCGTACTTTGCTACGAATAGCGCGGTTCCTTTCATATAAATTATTTTCAGAAGTGTTGCTGTTTCCCCCCTTTTCTTCGTTTTTAGCGTAGTTTTTAGGTCGCTCAGCACACTGATACTCATCGGTTGAAAATGTTAGACAGTTTAGCACTGCAGTACCGTTACTCCATTCAGCGTTTTCACAGAGAGCAGGTTTTAGATGATGAGGATGATGCAGCGATGCTTGCTGTTTTTCGGAAAATTACAGCATTTGCAATGTAAATTCACTACGCTTCTTTTCAAGAATCTATTTCCTCTTTCATTACTTTCCATATGGAACTTCGTTCTGATTTGGTTTTATTACTTGGTTTTTGCGCTGTAGGTTTGAGGATCTTGGAAAGTGGCAGTTGTGGGACCCAGCTTTAAGTGTGTTAAACTGCAGTGAGGAGAAACATGCGTCGCGTGACGTATGTGAAAAAGCAGTTTTGCTCCTTTATTCAACTTTGTACTGGGGGCTTCGACGAATTTTGTCTGACGAGGAGTCAAACAAGACTGTACAGTATTATGTTTTGTCTTAACGTAACATACCTTTGTTTTTCAAAATTTTATTCACTTTTAAGAGTCTTATGTAAGGCGTAGTTCTCATTGTAGCCTTTCAGGAAGCAGTCAAGAAACTGAAAAAACAACGTGATCAATTTATTGAAGCAATTGGCAATATTTTAACAAGCGGTGCGTCTGGTGTTGAAAATGTAAGATTTTGAAGATCTTCAAAATTTTTTTTTATCATTTGGTATCGTTACTGGTATTTTTATTCATCTAAAGGATTTTTATTTTCTTCCACTGGTTGCTAAATTCTTCATTCTTTTAGGCCTTTCTATGCCTTGCAGACACACTTGTGCTTTTCAACGGATTGGAAGATAAATCTTTGGAGCCCGTTTTAAGTAAAGATATAGTTCGGGCCATGAGCGTGTTCGTTATAGATAATGTTTTCGTTGAAGATAGTTCATCAGCTGGTTGGTAGCAGTACCTATTTTTCTTCTTTTTTTGGGGTATTTTCTTTATAACTTCAGTCTTTGTTTCTGTATTGATTTGTAACTACAGATGAAACCATCAATCAACAGTCACAAATAGAACTGAAGCATAAAAGACGAAATTTGCTAGCTCAATATTGTAAGTTAATCCTTCATGGGGCGCTGGAGATTGCTGATGCTTCTCTGGTTTTTCGATTCTACACTAAGGTGATTTTTCTTTTCAAAATAGTTGAATTATTTCTGCGATTATCAAGCAGCGGTGCATTTGAGATATGTGATTGTTCGCTTTTTAAATAATTTTTCTAAAGATTTCCAGAAAAGTTGTTTTTAGTTCTATACCGATTTTGGGGATATCATTAAGATGCTTCTTGTTAAATGCCGTGAACTGGATAAGATGGGCTGCGCAAGAGCTATCATATCGTCCCTCTGCTACAATTATGAGGATTTGCGGGTACTTTTCTTAGCACTGTTATAGGGGTACTTTTTACTGTGTTTTCGCAATGTTTTATTTTTTATTTACGTTTACCACACTTTATATTATATTTAAGAAATGTGCAAAGGATGAATATTTGGATCCAGCTTCTGAAGAGTTTTCGAGTATCCGAGAGTTAGCAAAAAGATTTTCAACAGCTTTTGGGCCTGACCCAGTTAGAAGTCGTGAAGCCATTGCTGTGATTCATAGGTATTATTTATTAATAAATTTAATTCTGTCTCTCGTTTTTATTCATTGTTATATTTAGGGACGGTATAGTGTTTGCCCTTGATGGCAAAAAAAATTCAAAGTTGACATTTTTGGAGATTCTAATTGAGTTTAGTGGACGGCTTATGCGCCAGGACAAGCAGTCAGTGTAAGTTGTAAATATTCTCGTCCATCAACGTTTTTAGTATCTATGTTTGACTTTTGGCCTTGGTTACTCGTATTGGAAGCTGTTCTACTCTTTTAAAGACTGATTTCTTGTTTAGGTTAAAATACCTAGAAAAGCATGGGGCCGAAGTATCTGCTGAAGAACCTTTTGTTCTTTACAAAGCTTCTTTACAAGTGGGGCTCTTTTATTCATTTTATAGTTGCGTTTTCTGGAATCTGGTATGATTATTTTATTGTTATTTCTGTTAGGAACGTAACGACGATGCTGCGAGTGTTAGGAATGTATCAGTGCGTGGTCGGGCGCGAGGTCGCGGGCGCGGGCGGGGCTCACCAAACCCGTCTATTGAGGAATAGTGTATGCGGCTGTCTTTGTTATCTTAATGACCTCTTTGCAACTTTTTATTGACTAAGAGGCTGCGGTTTAGGTTTTTTCTCAATTAGTGTTTTGCAGGTACGTATCTTGGTGTTTTAGTCTTTCCAGTACTTAGTAAATTACATGCAACCAAGGTAGTAATTCACATATTCTGTTTTGCACGCTCTGAAGAACTGATGAGTTACATCATTTTTTATTTAATAGAGCCTTCTCTTACTAAAAGTGTGTTACTTTGTTTTTCAGAACCAGGAATGAGAAATATATGTTTTGTATAGGTCCACTACTTAGATGCCAGCGTGCATTCTTCCCTTTTTCCGTGTTAATGTTTTTATGCTTCTATACTTTATATTTATGTTTCATACTACTTAACCTTGATCTCAGTTGTTTAATTCCTAATCGAATGTCACAGTTTTTTTATTTGCCTCATTTATTGGCACGTTGATCGTGCGCTGTATAATAATTGGTTCTGTATAGTTGTTTAGTATGATCTTGTAGTAATTTTCTTTCAGGAAGCGTTTTTTTACAATATGAATAAAGGTATTTGATGATAATTGTCCTTTCTTTTTGTTTGATATCAGAAAATTTCTTCCGAAGTTACTATTGTCAAAGTGAAGTCTCACGAAGAAAGGTTCAGTTTTCGCAAGACGAGTGGCCTTCAACGACTTGTCGTTGTACGGCAGTGGTTGGTTCTGCCTATCCGGTTTAGGTTCCTTATTAACATTCATAGAGCGCGTGATGGATATTTTTATCTAAAAAATTGGTTATTTTAGGACAATTATTGTTAATGGAACTGTTGCATTTTGACAAGAAAAAAGGTGGAGGTTCTTTAGAAAAGGAATGTTTGGGAACGGCTGTGGTTTGTGAAGGTTTTTTGTGGGACGATATGGTAATTGTAGAGGGCAGCGATCAGATTGAATATATGCGTTCAAATGGCTTTTACGGGAGTTTTACTGATGATCGGCTGCCAAAATTCGAAGGTGCGAGTTCATCTTTAAAGGGAGAAAGAGACGAAATTGAGCGAAGTGAATCAAACATTATCGTAGCTGGCGGTACTGCGTTGCTAGAAAGAGAGTGCAAACGGTAAGGTCCTAGTGCTTTTTCTCCTTACAGCGCTTACTAGTTATTTAATAGTTACTTGCATTTTTGAGTATATCAGTTTTTGACTTTCTATAGTTGTTATCGGGTACAGGGCGCTGTGAATAGATGGTTTTTTTAAATTTTTGCTTGTATTACATGAATTCTTATTTAACTAGTAATAAAGTCTGGCATTTAATTGAAGAGTAACATCAGATAGTTGGAGGAGGCAGTGTATTATTGGTTTTTTAGATTTAATTATTAGTGTAGGGAAGTAGATACGGGAGGATCACTGAAAAAAGGCTTTCTTCAGCGGGAGACTGTTAGAATAGATGGTGGAAGGGCGATTGAAAAGTCTTCTTGTGGTAGCTATAGATACTGCAAGTAGTCATTGGTCCTGTGGTTGAATGAGGGGAAATCTGCTCTGGTCGGATGCGTCAGTACGTAGTAAAGTTGCGACAACTACAGAGAATTAAGGTTTATTCTGTTGGAATAGCAGTGATAAAGATGCCTCAACTGTAATTGGAGACAAAGAACAATTTGAATCAACGATGGCTTTTTATCAGAATAATGTATCAGAGTAGTTCTTCATCTTAGAAGGGTCATATTGTTTTTTATCGTGGTTTACGGCAAGCCTGTTTTCTTGCCCCTAGCCGAGGATAATGAATTTTCGGTGATAGCTTACATGCGCTTTTTTGGAGCTGTCGATTATATCCCGTATCAATAAAAACAATAAAAAATCCCTCCCATTTAGCACTTGTTTTTTTCAGCATTGCAGAGGATTTTTCAAAGAAAGATAGCTTTTTTAAATGGTTGGACGCAGTTTGGCTTACTTAGTGGTGCTCGTTTTTTTTCAACAAAGTTAAATTTTCAACCAAGTTGTCTCAACTTAAACATATTCTCTGAGAACAGGCTACGGGTATTGAACAACTCAGCGAAAATATTTTAGTTAAGAGGTGATGGAAGGACCTGAGCTTGTGCTTAAAAAATAAGGTGGCTTTCCATTTTTTCATTATCACCTTGGAGCATTTAGTGCTCTTTTTCATCAAAAGCAATATCAGGTACTTCGATACGTTACAGTGTTCATAATAGAATGAAATTTAAAGTTGTTTCTTAATGTGCTTCCCGGGAGGAAATGTTCCTGTTGTACTGGTGAATGAAATTTCAGCATACCAGAGAAGTGGAGCAATCAATGTTCTTCAAATAAAAAACTATATTTAAGTATCGAAGAATCCCTTTATCTGGCTTATGAACTTAATATTCTTAAAATAAGTGACCGGCTCAGTGTTGTCCCGGCTAGTGAATTATGGAGACGTTTTACTGCAGTTTATGGAACGGCGTTTATCAGTCGTTACGCAGTTTACCGATACTTACGATTACAAGGATGGGTTGTTCGTAGTGGCTTACTTTATGGTGTGGATTTTATGATTTATCGTCAAAGTCCCAGGCATTATCACTCTAGTGCTGGAGTAAAGATTGTATTATTTTCAGACGGTGGGATAGACACCACTTTTATTGGTTTGAATCGAGAATTGAATAATGTGAGAAAGTCTTTGATTGTTGCTAATGTAGAAATTCCCTTAAATGTTGATTTAACAAGCATAAAATGCCTTGAAAAAATCTTAGTGTCTCATTTAGTCTACCGCTATCGGCGTCCTGAAGGTAAAAAGATAGGGTAGGGCTTTCTTTGTGATCTACATTAACAGCTCATTTGATTTATTAAATTACGTACAAAACGTTGAGAAAGCAAAGCGAAAAAGTAATCCCGAATTAATTATCACCAATGAGTCCATATGGCAATCGAAATTGCTGGCAAAATCCAACAATAAACGAACTTTGAGCTTATCTTTCTCATCTGTTTAATTGAAAGCTTTGCCAAATCTCGTAATACCTTGCTTTTACGTGTATTAACGTTACTACACCGTTTCTCCGTTGAAGAAATTGGCAGTTTGAAACGTACCAGAGATAACTTTTTCGAAATGTTCAACTGATATAAGCAGTGATCAACTGTACGATCTAGCTTAATAAAAGTTCTGAAGATTGTTTTACGCTACGGCGCTTGACTAAAGATTATTCATTGTTCAAACTTGCTTTTTGACTATGCAATATTTCGGAACTGAACCTCGTGTTACTTCTTTAAAAAAATTTTTTTTGTTGCCTTAAACGTAATCTAGTAGCCAATTGAAATTTGAACACGTGTTAAGAAACTTAGAGAGGAGGACCTTGACACGTTTCTATTAAGGCCACTTAGTCTATTCAAAATATTTGTTCTGAACAAAAGCCTAAGTGGACCACTTATTTAAACAGCTTACAACGCCGATTTACTCGTCAGGTGCGTAGTTAATCAAGCAATAATTTTTTTTCTAATTATATTTATAACTTGATTTAGAGAAAAAAATGAGATGTTAACTTTAGCAACTCTGAGTTTTGCTCTAACGCACACTCCTACTAGAAGATGCACTGCAACAAAGTAGTGTTTGAGATAACTCAAAATTATAACGTTATGCACCATTCTCAATTCCTCAACCCAGCAGAAAGTCTAAAAAAAATCCTAATTCTGGAGTACTATAGGAATTTCGTTGAGCATAATATGTTCAACTGCAGTAAGATTTAGAAATTCTTCAGGCGCCGATCTTCCGAGGAGTCAAGGCCAATGAAGTCAAGGACTTTCCCGCTTCCTCCTTTTCGGCACGATGAGACCTTTCTGAAAATTTTGGTAGCAATTTTTTTCATTAGCAAGTGATGACTAGGCCGTCTTTTTAAATAAATTTGAAGAACAATAACGAAAACAACCTCTTTTTTATACTTTTTAGACGACTAATAGCAATTTTTAGATTCCTGAATTGCAGCAGTTTGTTACTTCCTTTAAAGCTGCTGAACTTTTTGGAAGGAAGGTTTACTACTGCTTCAAGGAACTACTGATTTTGAAAGCAGTCCAAAATTGTGATACCTTGTATATGAAACTTAAAAACTTGCTCCTCGAAGAAATTAGGGTTTTTTTGTATTAAGGTCTCAAGACAAAAAATTTCTAAAAGGATTTCAAAAAAAAGAAATCTGGAGAAGCGGTTTCTGAACATTTGAAGTGGTTTGGGAATGATACTTTGCGATAGTTATATGGAAAAGCGTCATTAGCGCTCTTCCCAAGGCAAGGACTCCAAGTTACAGCAGCGAGAAACAAAAAAGGTTATAAGTAGCCCTAATGTACAGGAGTTCCTTACGCAGTCAATAAATCTTTTAACTATGTAAATAGTCTTTAGGTATTCCTGAGTGCGTTTATCGAATGAAGAAATTTACTGATGTGATAGAGCTCCTTCAGGTACTTCCAGAACAATCGACTATAAGCAGAAAATTTACCACTTTAATATTCTCAAAGTTAAGTCATTTGTGCGGCTCGTTGGCTGGCTTCGAAATTTTAGGGGAGGTCCTCAGTCCGAAAAAGTCACCAGTTTTCATATTTTTTCAGTTGCGCTCTAAATCAAAGATTCTATAGGCTTCTTAAAAAACTGCAAAGGAAATTGAATGACTTTGAAGCTGCAAACCTTCCAAAGCCTTACCGCTTATATATTTCCGTCATTTCTGAAACATCAAGCTCATCCTTTAGAGTAGTTCGAGAGAGCTGTCTATATTAGCTAAACAATTACACTTTAGCTGAAGCTTAAATAAATAGAAAAAAGTGATTGTTATCATTGCTACTTCTAACGGTAAAAATGCCCATCAAAAAATGTTTCAGAAGGTGAACGTGGGGGAGGAAGATTCTTTCAGACAAAATAAAGGCATATCAAAACTGCTTGAAAAATACAACGCCTGCAGACCAAAGAAAATATATATAGGGGAATATATATATATATATATATAGGCGGATTCAATCCTAATT